TTTCAAGTGCAAAAATGTTATGTACTAGAAAAATAATAAAATTAGAGTGAGAATTTACATTTTAGCCTTATACAATAATATTATCTACATAAATAAATAATAAACTTAAATATAAAAGGCGCAGGAGTTTAATGTGAAAAACTTGGGAAGAAAGTAGAACTAGAAGGGCTAGCCTTGATAAAATGATCTAATATATAAAAAAAATTAGAGCCCTTATTTCAAATGGAAAAGATGATAATACAAAATAATGTATTAAATTTGTTCTCCTTTAAATAAAAAAGGATGAGGATAATGATTAAATAAAATTAGTCTAATGTTGACAAGCATGGAATGATAATTGGATTTTTTTTATTCGGCTCCTATATTTTATTTCATAGAAAAAACATTACAAAAGTTGGAGAGAACTCCTGACTACACCCTCTACAACATACACAAAAAATTAAAGGGACCTCCCCAAAAAAAAAAAAAATACAACACACACTACCAACAAGAAAAGAGAACACTAAAATCAAACTAAGCAACAACTTAATTCAAATCCATAAGTAAAAGATGATCAAAGCCATAGGAACAATGCTAAAAATCACAACAGAAGTTAATGAACATCCCAATTTGGCGGTCCAATCAACCACTTTGTTTTATTCTCTTTGAGTATGTGACCATACAATGCAGCTATCAGTTGTAAGTTCTTCAATTCTTTTCATATGTATGTTGATGCTCTAATGATGATCTATTTTATACCAGCAAAACTTCCAAAGCAATAAGAAATCCAATTCAACAATAATAAATTTCCAACCAAATCTTTTAGTTATCAATAACCCAAATATCCCAGCATTGACTTCAACAACAAGGGAAGAAATAAGGGCCGCCCAAGTAGCAAACCAACATATAAATGTTCCTAGAAAATCTTTGCATACACAACCTACACCGACTCTATTTTCCTTCAAACAACCATCCACGATTATTTTAGTAAAAGGAGCATGAGATTTATGCCAAGTAATAAGAATAAAATGATTGACAGAAATATTAGTGTCCACATTAAATTTATGAAATACATTTAATATTCATGTTAGCTTGATTACCATTGAAATTTAGACAGTTATAGAAATAGTTATATATTAGCCCAAAGATATGGTTGATATTAGGTACTAAATTTTGAAACTTAACAACATTCCTGGATAACTAAACATACCATAATACCACAGATGGAACATTATTAAAAAAGACATGACCCATGGATTTTCAGTCATCGTAAACACTTAGAATGTCATGATAAACTCAAGGTTTCCATTGCTTATTAAACAGGGAATAAAATTTTAACCAGACGTGATCAACTAACCTACAATCAATAAATCAATGCTTACATGTTTCTTTTGCAGCCATACAAAATAAGCAAATAGACGGAATTCTAAGACCTTTTAGCTTTAAAATATCGTCAACAGGTAAAAGTTGTTGAAATAATCTCCAAATGAAGGAAGAAGTAGAAGGTTTAATCCTTCTGTTCCAATTTTATTTAAGATCCAGTCCCTGAGGAATTGTAAAGGAATTAGCAATTGACTTAGTGACGGAGTCCCCAAAATTACCTTTAATTTTGAGAATATTAGGTTTCCTATTTTTAATGAGAATGGAAGTAATAAATTTAACATCACTAACATTAAGGATTTGTTTTAAAAGATTAGTATTTCAACCATTGCTATTCCATAAATCATTAACTTTGAGATGGAAGTTTTGAGGGCCTCCATAATTATCCACAAGAGTGTCATAACCAAGCCAATCATCATACCAAAAGTATACTTTCCCAATACCAATATCCCAATTTATAAGATTCTCAGTCACGACAACAACATTAAACATACCCTTCCATATATAAGAATCATTTCTAGATTGTATGATAACAAGAGGATGAATACCATCACATTATTTAACATTTAACAAAGAAACCTAAATGGAATCCATCTTCTTGAATCTATACCAGAGTTTCATACAATTTATCTTAATAGTATCAGTTAATTGATTGAAACCCAAACCACCCTTATTAAGTGGTTTACAAATATTTTTCCAACTACACCAATGAATAGTATGTTTACCAATACCACTCCATAAAAAATTATTAAAAAGATTTTCTAATTTAGTGATAATACCTAAAGGCATATTCATAACCTGCACAATATAAAGAGGTAAAGAAGCAATAATACTCTTAAGAATCATAATCCGCCTACCAAAGGATAGGAATTTATTTTCCCATGAAGATATCCTTTGATTAATCTTATCAAATAAATTATAAAACAAAGCCTTTCTTTTGCTACTTTTATCTCGAGTAAACCCCAAATAACTAAGGAAAGGCTAGCTTTATTACAACTGGTATAATTCACCATCCAATTCTTCCTAGCACTAGAAACATGCTTAAAATAATAAAAATGACACTTGGAAGTGTTACAAGTCATACATGAGATTCCCTGAAAATTAATTATAACCTGCCATAATTTCTTGATAGATCTTTTATGAGCATTGACAAATATAATTATATCATCACCAAAGCTTAAATGTGTAATGCCAATCAAACCTTTATGAAGATAATACATGCTAGTATATTGAATAAAAACATTGTTAATATATATATATAAGGGTAATCAAAAGCAATGATGAATAGATAAGGGGAGAGAGGATCACCTTGTTTAATGCCTCTAGATGCCTTGAAGAATCCACATATTTTGCCATTAATTAAAACAAAATAATAATTATTACAAAAAATTCTATTAACTAAATTGCAAAAGTCCTCATGAAAAACTAAAAGCATGAAGAACATCAATAATAAACTCCCATCTAATAGTGTCAAAAGTTTTTTTTAATGTCCATCTTAAATAACACATTCTCGCAATTTCCCCTTTTATCCAAATCTAAAAGTAATTCTTGAATAGTGAAAGCATTATCAATAATATTTCTACCCTTAATTAAAGCAGTCTGATTATTGCTAATAATGTTATGAAGAAAATGTTGTATTCTATTAACAAGGATTTAAAAAATAATTTTAGAAACTACAGTGTTAAGATTAATAGGTCTAAACTTATCCAAAGCATTAGCATGATTCTCTTTAGGTATAACTATAATGTTAGATGAACTAAAATACTTAGGTAGCTCCACACCCTTAAAAAAATCTTGAATAGCATTAACTAAATCTGGATGGATGGTGTCCCAACAGTGCTTATAGAACTCCACAATAAAACCATCAGGGCCAGTCACTTTCCCAACCCCCATGTTATACAAGACTTCCCAAATTTCCTCCTCATAAGGAATTTGGGTAAGGAAATGACCATTAATACTAGTGACATCAGAAAAAATGATCAACATTAATATTAGCCAGAGGAGAACCATCATTACTAAAAAGATGTTTGAAATAGTTAATACCATCATTCTCTATATCCGTTAGATTTGAAAGTAAAACCCCATCATTATTCATAATGCTAGAGATTAAATTTTTATTTCTTCTATTTTTGATACATGCATGAAAGTAAGCAGAGTTTTTGTCCCCCTCTAGAAAATTTTGTTTAGCAGCTTTTTGTGCCAGAAAGCTCTCTTCCATAACAATATCTTTGGATAGATTTTTTTGACCACCCTGTAACAGAAGGTCCGAGTTAATATTATCATTACTAAATTAATTGGATAATAGTGGTTGGGTGATGACATTTAGATAATATAAGTTGGACAACAATGAATAAATTATGATGATTGGGTGGCAGTGGTCAGATGATGATGATTAAGCAACAACAATCAAATGACAACACTCAAATTATGACAATGACTAGCTATAACTAATGGTTTCAAACATTAATTAGAGCTCTAAAATTTTTTAGATATCTAAGTTATCTATAAATATAGTTCATACCCCATCCATAAAGAGAATATGATTCTATTTATAGTTTTTTGGAGTGTTAATTTGTTAAATCTAGTCAAAACTTCAAAACACTATCAGATTATTTGTGTTTATTTCTTTGATAATTAGATTTTTTTAATACTTAAATATCTTAATAACATCAAAATTTAAAGATCTTAAATGCATTATATTTCTTTCATTGAGTTGTTTTGATTTAATTATAAACATGTAAAATAAATAGAATTATTTTAACCCTTTGTCTTAATTTTTTTACTATACTTCAAAATTTTTTTGGGTTTATTTGAGTTCGAATCAAACTAGTTTTGGTTTTGTTAGAGGAAGCCAAATTTGAGTCTGTATTGGCTCTCACCTCACTAGCTGTATTCCAAAACTACACATTTGCTTAGGTGTCAAAAAGGAAGTGCCATAACCATACACTCATGTTCATACCGGTCATACTTACTAGCTGATATCTCTTTCTATCTGGATAACATCTAATTTAATTGTCAATTATCGTTTGACTTATAATGTCTATCATTGAATATTATCTGATGCTTACATTGGCCTGTATTTAGCATCCAATAACCATTATTGTATTATACTTATCTTTTTTATGACTTTAAGCTAATATAGTCGCAAATTCACATATAAACATATGCAAAATCGCATACCCATTACCTCTAGGTTGGAAATTAAGATTCCACTTAGTAGGTTAAAATATGATGGATAGTTATCTTGTCTTATTTGTAAACGGCTTGTTTGAGATCAATTTTATTTTTTATATTTTTTTTACTTTTTCTTTTAATTTCAAAAACACACTTGTTTGGTATATATTTTTATATATTTTTATTTTATATTTCTAAAAATAAATTAGCATGCTTTTAAAAACACTTTAAATATTTCTTAAATGTTTTGAATATTTTTAAAAATAATCATATTTTAATCAAATAGTCCAACATATTTTATTTTTAAAAAAACATAAATAAAAAAAATACAAGTAAAAATAATAATCTCAAATAGCACCTAATTTTTCTTTCACAAAAATGTATAGCAATCCATAAATGATAAGATTATAATTTTTTACTTAAATCATTATAAACAAATATTAACCAACTAATTTGTCCTACCTTTTTCTTTCCGCTCATGCAGAAGATGTGGACCCGCGCCTCCACAGGACGGCATTTTCCGTCTTCCTCCTTTCATGATTAAAACTAAACACGATCTTGCGCGATTCGCAGGAAATCAACCGTATCTTTGAAGATTTCGTGAAAACTTTTTCCAGCTTTCGTCAAAGATGAAATCTTTTTTCCACTACAAAAAACCAAATGGAGAGAAAACAGATCCATATCCGGTCTTTCTCCTCCTCTTCCTCGACTCGTCATCTCTTACTGCTTGCTATCCATGGCCGCTGTCGCCGCCGAACCTCCTTTCCGCATCCTAGCCGTCGACGACAACCTCACGGATCGGAAGCTCATCGAACGCCTGCTTAAAAACTCTTCGTATCATGGTAACACACAAACTGTTCGATGAAATGCGGCAATCAGAAGTTTGATATAGTTTCCCCTTATGTGATTTCTGGAATTTGTTTCTTGCTTTGCTCAGTCACTGCTGTGGATTCGGCGAGCAAGGCTCTAGAGTTCTTGGGACTGCTTGATCATGAGGCTACTGCGCGGGTAATCTCTATTAGGGTCTGCTTTTCTGGTTGTGTAAGCTAGACGAGGATAAGCGATGAGCTTTTGAAGCTTAGGCTATAAGATCATTTAAGTGGGGAGGTAGAAGGAGGCTGAGCAAAGCGGCCTGAGGGCGCGCTTATCTTTATCTTCGAACTGAAGAAAAAGTTGATGAGGAAATGACTCAAAATTCTGTTTTGGAAGGAAAAAGAAGCTTAAGCCAACTTATAAATAAGCCTGAACTAAACAGCCTCATAGTTGTTGGAATCTATGCTTATTATTATCAAAGTTTAGAACTTTTTGGCGATGAAGCTTTGCTTGATTGTTTTATGGTGTTTTGCAGAAGCTTGATGTGGATTTGATAATTACTGATTATTGCATGCCGGGAATGACAGGTTATGATCTTCTTAAGAAGATCAAGGTGGGTTTTTTTATTGTTTGGTTGTTCATTTGTCTAATTATTTGGCTATACTGAAGTGAAAATTTAAACTTGATTCAGATTGTTTTCTAAATTTGCCTTTTTTATTGACTAAATATAGGAGTCATGCTTCCTGAAAGACATTCCAGTTGTCATCATGTCTTCTGAGAATTTTCCTTCAAGGATCAATATGTGAGCAGTCCTTTTCTTTGGTATTTTGTTGCCAATAATTATTTTGATATACATATTGCTGATTCCTAAATCAACTTTGTTTCAAGGTTGTCTGAAGAATACATAGTACTTGATATGAATACTGAATTTTGCAGGAAGTAATAAATCTTGCCTTAATATTTGGTTTTATCAAATCTGGCAAGGACTGCATCTAAGTTATTTAATCCATGCTCTTTGGCTCCCTCGCCTCCTACCTCTTATCGTGACTCTTTCCTTCTTGTTTTTAAGATTTGAGTAATCAAACAATTTCGAGGATTAACACCATCAATCATTACCAATGCTTAATTGAATAGGATTTATCGAATTTGGATTTGCCAAATCCTACTTGGGACCAAATAGGTCCGCTAGTTAGTTCATCTTAGGGTCCGTTTGGGACAACCTCCTCACTGCTTTGCTCTCTGCATAATCTTGATTTAATCCTAAAAAATTACTTAAGCCTTGGGATTTCTAATCTTAATTTAGCTCATTAAATCTGTTCCAAATGCTAAATAAACTCCATAATCTATCCATTTTTGCTCAAAACAAATTTGTTTGATAGTAAATTTGCGCATGCCAATCTCAAATTTGTGCAATATTTATTTATTTATTTATTTATTTAAAGATCACCTGAAGAATACTTATGGTAAAGCATACAAATCTACTCATTTAAGCAGTTTGATTCTGCCTATGGCATAGTTTAATAAATGCGGACATAAAAAGATGGCAAATAACATGAATTTACTGATTGCTTGGTTTCATATGAGCTTGTGATTAGCATGAATTTGGCAGTTTGGTTGGCCTTTGCATAGGTTTATGCTAAGTTCTACCAAATGGCTGATAAGTGCCTTCTATAAATGCCAAATTCAGCAAGAAGTGATTGATCTTGGCTCGAATTTATAAAATCTATATCCTTTGCATTTGCATGATTTATTCCGTATTTTCTATCTATCTCGCTACCTAGCTTTTATCATATCTCTTATTTTTGCTCTTTAGATTTAAGATTTGAGCAATCAAATAGTTTTGAGGATTTACACAATTAATTCATATCAATGCTTACTTAAATAGGACTTATCAAATCTTGATTTACTAAATCCTGCTTGGAAGCATGTGGGACTGCTAATTAGCTTATTTTAGGGCCCGTTTGGGTTAAATTTTTCATTGTTTTTCGTTTGTGAGAACAGATGTACTCCTATTTGGCTACAATTTTCTTGCTGGTTCCTTAGAAATTTTTGTTGAGAGAAATAACTTTTTATAAACAAATTGATAGAATTGCCCATAGAAATTTGGGTAAAACATATATTTTATTTCTTTAAAAAAAACAATACAACCACAAACATATAAAATAAAGGATAAGCACCTACTCACAATTTCTACGATTTGAGAGGTAAGAAATCTCTCTCAAATCTTAAACCTAAGACTCAAGAATCTCACGCACAACCTAACATTAAACATATTAGCCCTATTTAAAATAAACAATAATAAATGACAAAAGACTAAATTGCCTTAAACGCACAAAAAATAAAATTTCCCTTAGCAAATGATATAACAATACTCTCCTCCTAAATGACACATTGTCCTCGAGTTAAAAAAAAAAAAAGTTAGTGTGTCCCTTCTCCACCATAACTATCTATGTTTCTTTATCCTCTGTCTTCTCGTCACACACTATGAGAATATGTAATATTTGATCATTACAAATGTGACTTGTGGTAAACTTCTCTTCAAACTGAAAACACAACTCTTTGGGCCGCTTCTTTAAATCTCTTTGTAAGGCACTTTAGGGTTGCTCCCAATTGTGGCTCATGATTATTGTTCTATGAAGCCTCTCTATGGACTTCCACTGTTTGAGCTTTTGGTACCATTAGTGGTTGTGGAAAATCAATATGGTGCTTCACCTATGTTGCTCATATTAGCCCGTTCCATTACATTTTTATCTTCAACTAAGTGTGTTTATTCCATAGTTTCCCCCAATACTTGCGATCTCCACTAGCGAAATGATGCTCGAACTCGAATCTCTAACTTTAATACTTTCATGAAGTTAATCTCTCTCAAACGGTCGTATATCATCTCAAAAATTTCACTGTACTTCATGATGGATCTTTCCTGGGCCAAAGCAAAAAAATGCTCGCGTAAATCCCCTTTTCATGTGATTCTGAAGCGCTTTACCAATCGATCCTTAAATTTTTTCCCATGTTTGGGTGGTTTAATGTTGTTCTCTCCATTAATACCATTCTATAGCCTTTCCTTACAAATATAAAGTCACCGTCATTAATTTTTCTTCATCCACCAGCCCATTAGTAGCAAAGTATCTCTCCACACGATAAACTCAATAATAAGCATCTTCTACTTCAACTATTGGCATCTTCAACTTCCTTATGTGTGAGTCTCTTCCCCAATTTCTATGACTGAAGTTTATTCCACCTATAATGTCGGGGTTGGGTTTCCCTTCTTTACCCATATTGATTTATTTTCTTCCACAAGTCTCGCTAATCTCATAATCAATTCGCCCGTCCCCATAAGTTCCTAAACATCCTTCCGCTCAAAAAACTGTTGTAATGAAAGGCACTGACACTATTGAATGCAATCCTTAGTTGGGGTCCCACCCACCTTGGTTTCGTGTTCCCGATCGAAATCTTTCGAATTAATCTTCTCCAGCCTTGAAGTGCATGTCATCTCATGTCACCTGTTGATGCTCGTTCCAGCCATTCCTTCAAAGTGTTGTCGTTGGAGTCCACTTCTAATTCCTTCGCTCAATCCCCCTGTAGGTGGCGAGTTTTTGTGAGATTCATTGATCTTCTTTATCATTTCTTCTAGTGATGTGAACCTCCCCTCCGTGGCTAGAAACACTCTTTCATTCTATTTCTGCTTTGACTAACCAATTCCTCCAATATCTCCTGCAAATCATCTCCTTTCATGGCCAGCATTATCTCATAACTCATTTTCGCTGAAATCGATAGGTTCAAAATTTTTCAACGTAATTTTGACTTGTGTGGAACTCTAGTCGTTGTGATCCATGAATTTTTGTGTGCAGCTTGACTTAAAACTACTCTAAGCCGTGAGGAGCTCCATAAGCAGCGATTTAAATTCCTATATGTGAGTTCGGCGCAAGAAATCTTGTTGTTGGGCTCTCGCAATCGGGATTCTAGTCATTGCAAATCCTGATCGCAAGTTTCTGTCACGAGTGGCGCGGAACTACTTTAAGCTGCTATCCTGATCGTGTGTTTCGATCAAGAACTTCGTGAAACTTCTATACGTCGTGTTTCGTTGTCATTTGTACCCCGCGATCCCTTCATTTGTGTCCTGGCTACCCCGCGATTTGGCTTTCCTGCAATCCCGACTCTGTAATTTGGCTTCCTTGCAATCCCAGATAGCTCGATCGTGACTATATCGCAGCAAGCTACAGGTCGCGATCTTGTCATTGCTTCCTAGTTAGCTCTATCACGATTGTATCACGATCTTTTGGTTCACTGTATGTCGCGATCTTTTTTCCTCTCAGACAATCGCAATCCCGTCAATCTTCCCAAGCAAGCACAATCGCGACTCTATTGTCGCGAGAGGCTAGTTCGATCGTATCGGCTTCCCAATTCTCAATCCGATCGATCTGGACACCCAAATCCGCGATTCCTTCCTTGGTTCCCTTTTTGTTCCAAGATTGAATGCTCTCATGCCATTTGATAGGATTTACCATAAAAATTATGGCAAAATAAATATTTTGTTTCTCAAAAGCAAACAATACAACCAAGAACATATAATATAATGATAAACACTTACAATTCGAGAGGTAAGTTATCTCTTCCAATTCCTACAATTCGAGGGGTATGAAATCTCTCCCAAACCCTAAACGTAAGACTAAGGATCCAATCTCATGCATAATTTCAACCCTAAACACATTAGCCCTCTTCATACTTAACAATACTAAATGATAAAAGACTAAATTGCCCTTCAGCGCACGGAACACAATTGCCCTTAGGATAGGCATCGGGGTAACACTAATTTATTGTAATTTGGTAGTTTTATGAAAACTATTGTTTGATTTTGTCCTTTTCAAAATAAAATGTCTATTATATTCATAACAACTTTCAAAATATTTATTTTCTACTAAGACAGTTCTATAGAAACCTTTATGGAAAGCTATAGCAGTCCCAGATGGACTCTCATTCGAGTCAAATAGTCAAGGTATCTAACTTGGCTAATTTTTGAGGGCATATCACACAACATACCGTATACTCATCAAATGACATAATTTGATTGTGAAAAAAAAAGATACGATTTGATTATGAAGTTCTTAGGACCAGCTTGAAAATTATGTTTGATAGTAAATATGTGCTTGTACATCTCAAGTTTTTGTAATCCTCAATTTTGATCTTTATGGTTATTGATTCCCTAATCCCCAGTATCATCAATCTTTGATTTTCTTAATCTCAACCCATTATTCCATGAAATTCAAGTGAATGCAAATCAATTAAAGGGGTGTTTATGTATTTGCATATCTAACTCCTTACTTTTTTACTTTATTCCACCCAAATCTTTCAAATCACATAAAAAATACCACTAGTTTAACTTAAAAAAAATGAAATATGTCTTTTCATGCATAGGTAATGTAGTATATATATTTTTAAAAGGAATGGCCGGATAGGTAATGTAGTATATATATTTTTAAAAGGAATGACCGGAGGCTATTAGACGAGCCCCGATCATCCCTAGGTGTGCAAAATAAGGCTATTAGACGAGCCCCGACCATCCCTAGGTGTGCAAAATGTTCGAATACCACACCCTACACACTGGGGTATTCAAACCCGTGACCTGAGAGGATTTACGACCTTCAGAGAGGCTGCTCCAACAATAGGCCACGGAACTCATGCGCGCGCGCGCGCACACACACATATATATATCTGTAAAAATTGAAGTTTAACTGTTAGATATGTGAATACATATGAAAACTAATCTTGAAGCATTAATTTGAAGAATTAGATTACATAAACATTAAAAAGAATTATTTATTTGCTTGATGATGAATCTATTTTAGTTTGAATGGAAATTATTCTTATGGAACCTCAACATTTTTTTTTTCAAGATGTTTGGAAGAAGGAGCAGAAGACTTCTTCCTGAAGCCAGTAAAGTTATCAGACATGGAAAAACTGAGATCTCTTATTCTTAAAGGCAAATCCAAAAATAGCACTAATAGCATCATCAAAAGGGCTTGGTTTAGGCTTAATCTTACAACATGGAGATTTTTATCTAATTTTCCCCCTTTTTCCTGTAATTGTTGATACCCTTTCAGTAGGAGTTGCTTATATGATTGGGCTAGTTTGAACCCAATCTTTTTCTTCATTTTATTTTAACGGTATCTTTTGGGTGTAGGAATATATGAAATAGAGGAAAAAAGTAAGCTATATAATTGATTAAGTTTCAATATTTTGGAATCTTCCTTTTTATATATTTTTTTTTCAACTATTTTGTTTGAAGTTTCTTTTTAATGAAAATTATTGCCAGGTTGTGTATATGTGTTTCTCTGTTTCTGTTGTCTGTTGTGTAAAAGATGCAACCATATCTAAAGAATATGTAGCTTGAAAGTTCTTAAGAGAATTTACTGAAAACCATATAAAAGCTTTACACATAACTTAAACATAAAGCAGATTTGCTGATTAATGAAATTTACTTGTTAGCATTAGCTTGTTTGGGATAAAACTCTTTAAGCTTAATCCCATAACATCTGAAGGATGTATGGATGGAAAGTTTTTTGTTTTTTTTCTTAATTTAATTGTATTGGGTTGCCTTATATGTCTATCGAGCTCTCATGATCACATGTTATTTTGATAAATGACATTCTTTTTTGGGTTTTTTGCGCATGCACGAGTGTGCTCGTGTCGTTGTTCTTTTGCGTGAAAGTTGTTGTTAAGAGAATTTACAGACATACCTGTACTTTTATATTTACATGTATGACACTTCAATGCCACAACCACTTTCAAACATAAACATGAGAATGCGTAATTCACTTTAAAAAGTTTTTATTATTTTTTGTTTTGTTAGATATTTGAGTGTTATATAAATAAATATTAAAATTTAGATATATAAATGCATACAAACCTACCCCCTATATGTAGTAATTGATAATACCAAAATTCACATCAACCTCCTGCAAATCACTAGATATAACTTAAGAAAAATTACATTCATATCAAAGCATGTAAATTCTAATGAAAAATATCAGTGCTTCATAATCCACAAAAATTAACAGAATTTCAGAAAGCCAAACGTTTAAGGTGTAGATTGTAAAACCTCTGGCATATATGAAGAAGATAAGTATTATTCTGTTTATAGAGTTTTAAAGTTATTATTATTAGAATAAAGGTTCAAATTATAAGGAATTTATACAAAATATTTATTCCAAATGTCACTATGAAACTGATCATATCTTATAACGCCAAAGAAATGGCATAATTACAGAACCAATCCACAAACTGTCGTTCATCTCATGCACCTCACTGATGAGCATCATCTTTCTCCTTCCAAGACTCTCCAAAACTTCTATTACTTCTCCATCTTCATTCAATCTCAATGCCATGGCTCCCTCATTCCTCATCCTCTTAAAAAACATCACCATGCCATGAATCCTTGAAGCTGGTGGAAGCCATAAAAGAATAGTCAAATATATTGTTTTTATTCTTAATAATACTAATAATAATATAATTTAAAAATAAGGGATATATGTATAAAAATTTATTTTAGTTTGGTTGTTTGGTGAACAAGAAAACTGTTTTAAATTTTCAGATTAATAGAATAGAAATGTTGCATCAAAATTCACTGGTTTGAATTGAATTATTTGTAAACCCTTTTTAAGATTCTTATGATGAAAGCATGTTTTGGTGTAACAGAAGGTCAAAAAAGTAATTTCAATTCAGGGAAATTTTCAACCCCCTAATTTAGCTTGCTTGGTATTCTCTAAGGGCAATAGCTTATTTTATTCTATTGGAAAGGTCAAAAGTGTCCCAAATAAATTATTTTGTCCAATAATTAAGGAAAATAAAAAATAAAAAGACTCAGATAGAAGTGTTGAGTTAATTCTCAATGCCAAGTTTATTTAATTTAATTTAATTTATTTTAATTTATTTATATAAATAAATTAGTTTCCAGCAAGAAAAAGGCATGTGAAAAAGCTAGAATCGAGTTTGCAAGGAGTTCTTCATGAAAAACTAACAACCTCAAAAACACACTATTCAATGAAACTCACATCTAAAACATGATTAAGGGCCCGTTTGGCATCATTTTTGTTTCCTATTTATTTATTTTTTATTTTTTTTAGAAAATATATTTGGTAGGTACAATTTTTATATATTTTTATTTTTTGTTTTAAAAAGCAATTTAACTTATTTTTAAAAACACTACAAATTTTTTTTAAAAACAACTAGTTCAATCAAATACATTTAAGTTAAAATCAAAACACGAACAAAACAAAATAAAAACAGAAGTGATCCCAACCAGCCTCTAAGCATTTTCAAATACTTACTTGGAAGCACATAGGAACCATAGAAGAAAACCTTCTTCAGCCATGGAAGGGAGAGAAGCCATTTCACAAGCTTGCTTCTTCTCGAATGCAATGCAACCCAAAACCCTCCTCTGGGGCTTCTCCTTATGTTATCTGGAAAGCCTGGAAGCTCGGAGAAGACCTCAAAGGTTGAGTTTTGAAGCCAATATCTTAGAATTCTGCAAGTGGTGGTCTCTGCAATGAGGAGGAAAGAGCCATCCGAGCTTAATGCAATGCCATTGGGGAATGATAGGTTGGAGAGCAGGATTTGTGTCTTTTTGGTAGTTGGGTCATATTGCATTAATCTTCCTGTGCTGTCTCCTGTTATTATCGCTGATAAGAACTCCCTGTAAAATAATGCTAACTTGATTAACTGGAGTAGATATATGAGAAAATGAGAACATTCAATCAAGACGTGCTAAGATTACTGAAATTTACTAGGGTGCATTAATTGGTTTAAATCAACCAAACTGAGTATATTTGATAGATTTGGTTAGATTTATTAAAGGGTCGAGCATTACTATGTATAAAACTAGCACCCATATGATTTTTATAAACTGCCAAATATATGCATCTATGCACGCCACGATCAAAACAATAGACAATTTGATAAAAATGAAATATATGGGTTGGGTTTTATCATGAATTTTGATATTTCAGTGAGCATTTGAAAAATGAATGAAAGATAATGCTACATTTGTAAATAGCAATGTTTCGAATGCTATAGTTTGGATTCTAGTTCGATTCTATGAAAAAAATTATTTTTTTAACTTAAACCAAAATGTCATTATCATAATTATATATTATATATATATATGTTTGGTTTCTCATTTTCCCCTTGTATTTTAATTTGGTTTTTTGTCCTTGCTTTATGAATCAATACTAAATTGAATTATATTATGGTTTGATTTTACTTATGAGTTGGTTAGTTAAGTTTTATTTAAATTTGGTTTGATATATCGATCAATCGAGCCAACCGAATCGACACAATGCACACCCTCTGTGTGCATCAAGTGGCCCAAAAATTCATCAACATTAGTTGGTAGTGGATTATGGCAGAGAAATTTAGATAGTGATATGTTATGAGGTCTACAATTTTGAATCAAAAGCATACTTGATGTATGTCAGGAGAAAGGTACAGATATTCACTACTCCACTAACGCTTCATCTGGCTAAATTGAGCTTGCTTACTCTGCAGAGGTTGGAGGTTTACTCTTTATGATGCTGTCTAGATAATGCAAAATATCTGAGGGATTTTTTCATTCCTTCATGCTACATTTAGTTTACTTATTTAGACTAGGGGATGGTGTAAAATGTTTTGCAATATTTTTGAAGAATTATATTAGTTATTTTTGTTACAACTTGCCTTAATGAGTGGAAGACATCAAAATTTTTAATTGCAAAATAAGTTTATGTTGATTTCTTCTTAAGCTCGCATATGTTTCAGCTCTTCATACCACTCAAATTTTCACTCTTTTTACACAAATGCCACTCACCAACAAAGAATTGCACATTTATCATCCATTTTCATATGTAAAGATTAGGTAGGTCGATTTTTTTTTTCTTTTTAACTCACGCACATGCATATATGTGCTTGGCCTCAAACTCAAAATTTTGGGATTGGAGATAAAGCATTTAAGCTGCACAATGATTAGATAAGATTAGGAGTGTCAAATCCCGTGTGCTGGTCAGGTTTGGGTCTGACCCAAAATTGATCCGACTCGAGTATTAAATGGGTTAGAGTCTAACATGTACCTGACTCGTAATCAACCACACACTAACATGAAGCTGGCCTTTATTACTCATTTAACATGAGACACAACAGCTATTCAGGTCAAATTTCGGTCGATTTCGAGTCATTGTAAGGTCAATTTCTGTTAATCATGCTGATTTTGAGTCAATTTTAGTTGAGTAGATTATTTCCAAGTCATTTTTGGGTTGGTTGGTGAACTCGAACCTGACTCAGAAAATTAAACAAAATAGGATTTCTAACACAAAGCCAACCCAAAAATTATTCCGATCAACCCAAAATTGAATTTTTTTAAGTCAAATTCAAGTTGGTCAATTTTTGACACTCCTAGACAGAACATTGTGTGTGTGTGTGTTGAAATTAGAGAGCAAGCATATAAAATAAAGAGAAAATTCATTATAAATACTTCTCTTTCTAAATTTCATGAAATATCAACTCAATTCAAAGACAAATTAATGCCCCAAAATTCAAATAAATAATCTATAAACATGAAATATCATACCTCCTCCTATACTTTGCACTGCTATCAGTAAAATATACAACTCCACTTCCTTGATCAATATCCAATGCATTGGTTAGATAAAATGGCACCCCTCCTGCCTCTTTTGAGACTATGGTGGCAGCTTTGTCTCTGCTGCCAAACTTTAATAAACCAGAGTATGCATCAGCAACATATAGCTCTCCTGTCTTCTTATAGAAACATAATCCAAGTGGCCTCCCACATAAATCTTCCCTTTTTGGATCTCTTGAGCCTCTGCAGTCATGCAACCTGCATCATTCAGGTAAATTATTGCCACTTTTTTTGTCCATTTTTGAAATTTTATATTATTCTGATATTGGGCACTTACATATATGCCCTCTCAATTCTTATGTATTTACATATATGCCATCTAGTTTTTACTAGCTTTCTATGTGCATAATATCCCAATCTTTCATATCACATAAAAGTCACTCTGTTAACATAGGTAAGATGACATATATGTAAAAAATTAGAGTTTGGGTATCAGAAATGTAAATACATAGGAATTAAGTAGTATGTTCCTATCAATATATTTTTAATTCAGAGAGAGAGAGAAAGAGAGATAGATGCTCCTTTCCCATCAACAATGAATGATCATTTTACCATCATTTTTTTGTCCAACCTATTTCTATTATTGACCTCTCAAAATAGGTCTTTATTCTTGCAATAGTAAAGTAAGAAATGACATAATTGTTAAGGCTGTCCGAATTAAGGATGCCTAATTATAGATTATGCTGATATAATAGTGAGTTTAGATTAATTATGCAATTAAGAGAGTAGCTTGTAAATTAATAATAATATTAATAATAAACTTAAATATATTTGGAAGATTAACATACATGCCACTTAATTCTTATGTATTTATGTATCTAACTCTTAAATTTCAATTTTTACATATATGCCAATGTCATATTACCTGATGAAAAGATATATTTCACTTTTTAAAAGTTAAAAATAGTTGGATTTTTACTATGATAAGGAAGATTTAGGTAGTATAAATATAAAAAAGTAAAGTTTAGATGCCAAATATGTAAATACATAGAAATTAGGCTGTACATACCACCCCAAACATGTTATTTTCCTCCATTTTTCAAATTCCCACCCAAATTTCAAAATTCATGGTAAAACCGCAATTCATATTATTCGTTTTTATCAAATTTTCAATAATTTAGTCGCGCCACACCTAAATACATCCGTTAAGTTGTTCAAAAAAAAAAAAAATCATCGTGTGCTCAATTTGTAAGTATCAATATTTTGGATGGTCCGTATGTGCACTTCTGGCAACTTCAACTCAAAAACAAGTATTGTTATTATATATATATATATATATATATGTGTATGTATGTATGTATGTATGTATGTATGTATGTATGTATAAGATACTCACAAATTAGAAGGGGAAACGGAAGAAAAATCAGTCCATCCAATATCATCTCCTTCCCATTTCATTATTCTGCCGTCAGACAAGCCGGTGTAAGGCCCCTCCCCATCTCCATCAAATGCGAAGCTCTCCGGTCCTATAGCTCCGCCATTCATGAAAGCTTGCTGCAATCTGCCTCCTTCATCTCCATTGATCTCTGTTGACTGATAGAGAGAAAAATAGTCCATTATCGTTAGAGAGAAGAAGGAGATTACGAGGGCCATAAGAACAGAGAGAAGCATATTATTTTTCTTCATTTGAGATGGGAGAAGATGAAGTGAAGGATAAAGATGGAGTTTTTATTATATATTTGAAGAAGAAGAAGAAGAAGAAGAGAAGGAGAAAGATGGAGTTTTTATTATATATAAGAAGAATAAGAAGAAGAAGAGGATAGGAGATGAATATAGATTGTACTGATTTATGCGCAAGACTACAAAGTTTTGACAAAGACGGCATGTAAATTTATGTAGTTTTGACTTGTGTGCCGGCCGGAGGGCATAGAATTTGATGAGAATTTTGTCCTTTATTCTGGTGCTGGGTAGGTTAAATATGGGTATTTTTGTAGGGATAATTGCATGTAGACCATCCGAAACATTGATATTTACAAATTAATCAACTATTATTATTATTATTTTTTTTTGTTTTGAATTATAGAACCGCTGTATTTATGCATGTCATGATCGAAGTATAGATGATTTGATAAAAATAAAGATTATGGGTTGGGGGGGTTTACGATGAATTTTAATACTTTAGCGAGAATTTGAAAGAGGATGGTAGATTTGTAAATAGCAATGTTTTGGGTTGTCGGCATGCAATAAGATTTGATTAGCAAAATTTAAGGGGGCGGAGAAGGAAAATCTGTTGCCTGTGCTTGTTTAGATGAGAATTAGTTGGGACTCGTACATTTAGCTGACTGAGATTTTTCTCTTTTATTTTTTTTTAAAGAGTTTCTGATAGTTTGCCCTCGTTTCTTATACATAAATAGCTAAGAAATGAATTATATAGGTTAACCACATATTATATAGTTTGCCCCTTTTTTTTTTGTATGGGCTAACCACATATATATATATTCAAAAGATTTTTTTTTAAAAAGCAGTTGTAAGTCCCGTCTGGTCTAGTCTATGGTTTGATTTGCCCTGAGTGTAAGGTTTGATACTCGAATTATTAGGTGCATGAGGGAGGTCGGGACTTGCATAATAGTATATATTTATCGCATAGTTAGATCAGTTGGTGGGGCGTCTGTTTGTCAGTTGTAAGTCCCGTCTGGTCTAGTCTGTGGTTTGATTTGCCCTGAGTGTAAGGTTTGATACTCGAATTATTAGGTGCATGAGGGAGGTCGGGACTTGCATAATAGTATATATTTATCGCATAGTTAGATCAGTTGGTGGGGCGTCTGTTTGTCAGTTGTAAGTCCCGTCTGGTCTAGTCTGTGGTTTGATTTGCCCTGAGTGTAAGGTTTGATACTCGAATTATTAGGTGCATGAGGGAGGTCGGGACTTGCATAATAGTATATATTTATCGCATAGTTAGATCAGTTGGTGGGGCGTCTGTTTGTCAGTTGTAAGTCCCGTCTGGTCTAGTCTGTGGTTTGATTTGCCCTGAGTGTAAGGTTTGATACTCGAATTATTAGGTGCATGAGGGAGGTATATATATATATATATATATATATAAACTTAAAAATGAATTTGTGATCTACCCACAAAAGAATATTTAACAAATATCGATAAGTGAACTAAAAAATGAACAATAAAAAATTAAGCAAATTCAATAAAATATTCTCTTTTAAATTAGAGAGAGATAGATAGAGAGAGAGGGAGGTGGGAGAGAGAGAGAGAGATTGATTCATTTAACTTGTCTGTTTGGTGAGGTGACATTTGGATGATAAATGATTTATATTTAGGTGAGTGGTAGGATGGAGATGTGATTGAACATATTATATCAAAATGAGAGGGGCTATCAATATTCATAATCTTTGTAAGTTATTTACATTCTTTGGTTGAATCAAAGTCGTGGCTTCAAAAATATTGTTTATGATGATGATCTAAATTGGATCAAATTTGAATTTATGCTAGTGTACATTAAAAAAATAGATCTTCAAAACAACAATAAGGCCCATAAGTTAAATGAGTCTTTTTGGTCCAAGTGATCGAGCACATTCATCACGCATTTTGAAGCACTAGCCTTGGTTGGGTCAGCCGTACACACTAGTTGTACCTTTGGAAGTCACAACTACCAAACTTACCTCACAAAGAGTTGGCAACCTCCTATGTCGAGTATGTAAGTATTTATACGAGCTCCTTTAACTAAGCTCACATGTATCGAGTATTCAAGAGAGTTTCTCCGACTAAGTTCGCCTATGTTCTTTGATCTTAGGGCTCGCCTACACCCCGCGAGCTTCCTAATTAAGCTCATCTGCATGCATTAAGTTACGTCATCAAGTTCGTCGAATAGTTCTTCACGACATGAAGAAAAAAAACTCTATTTTATTTTCATCCATATCTATTTATTGATTGCATGACATCCACGCCTAGAAACTTAACAGCGAAAATTCTTATTAGACTCTGTACAACATAACCTACAACTTAACATTTAACTTAGCATTTATTTATTATTTGTAGCCCTACAAGGGCAAGGACATTCTAGGAGGTCTATAAAAGAAGGAAGGTCCTTATGCTCTCTCTCTCTCTCTCTCCGCTTCATCACCTACATCATAACACACACACCCTGAAATCTACGACTCCCTTCTACCTATTTCACAAGGTTTCTTCTAGAGTGTATAAACCCTCAGACAACACGTGACCCTAATTTCTAAAAGAATTTGACAGTTACTATTCTTAAGATTCGTGCTCCTGAGGTGCAATTAATCAAACTTGATTAGTACCTGAAATAAATCTTTATTATAATGAAATATTTTTTTTGGTTTCAAGGGCTTCTTCCAATCTCAATATAGTTTCATGAAATCATTTTAACATAAATCTATTAACCTTGATCTCATGATTATAATTAATAAATAGAAATTTTAAAAGACCATGTTGCAACTTTTATTAGAAGCTATTATATATATCTATTGATGATAATTCAAATGTGCTAATTTGCATTGATTATAACTATTTGAAAGCATAAAATTCATGGGATAATTACATACAGATGATCCGAAATATTGATATTTACAAATCAAACAACTAAGTGATTTTTTGAACTACCATAAGGTAGGCTTCGAAAAGGTTGATTTTTTTTTTTCAATTTTTGTGCGTTGGTTTGGAAAAATTATTCCATACAGATACGATGTCCGATCTTCATCGTCGATTATAGCAAAAATGTATGACGGTAGGCCATATTTTGATTTTTTTTTTTAATTGCTGTGATGGACGGCTGAGATCGGATGCTATCAGTATGAAATAATTTTTCTTTGATTTGACGGAAATTTAATAATTTGGTTTGTGTGGTGCCAAAATCATAAATGTGGCATTTTTTAGGCCTTTGATAAGAGATGACTCGACGATTATATATTCATTTTAGAGGAATCTCTCTCTCTCTCTCTCTCTCTCAATAATAAGGGTATTGAATATAGTCTAACGTCATATAATTAAAAATAATATTTTAATATAAAAATATTAAATAATCGACCAATAATAATATATCAAGCCCAACTTTCATGCTATTTTATTCTCGAGGCATTTACATGCTTACCACTCAATTCATATTTATTTACATATTTAATATCTAAACTTTGATTTTTACATTATCACCACCTAGTTGGTCCATCACATCACATCACATTAAAAATATTATTATTTTAACTTTTAAAATGAATGAAATACATAATGTGGCTTATCTCTCTCTCTCTCTCTCTCTCTCTCTCTATATATATATATATATTAATTTTAAAAAGTAATGGCCGGGAGGATATAGTCTCCAGCCATCCTTAATGTGCCTAACAATTCGAGTGCCCCCTAAGGTGCCTAACAGTTGTCATTCCTATTTAAAAGATTAGATGATTCACATGCATGCCCCTCAATTACTATGTATTTATATTTTTAGCATCAAAATTTTATTTTTTTACAAATGTGTCATCTTTTTTACGTGATATGAAGGAATGTAAAATGGCATGGTGTTTGATTATATTGCTGGTGTTAAGATGGTATGGTGTTTATAGTGGAGGAGACTAATATATTTACTTATAAAAAGCATGAAAAACTCACTTGCTAGCACCGTCCCGCCGGCTGGAGGGACATTCACTCCAACTCATTATGGGGATATTATAAACAGTCGGCTGAATGTGAGCTTCAAAGGGGATTCTCATCAGTGTTGGGCAAAGCCCTCCCCAATATACTTTGAACCGAATCAGAGGACCCTTCCACCCTCGCCCGCTCAATTTATTCTAATTTTCTGGCCAGTTTCTTCCTCAATGGTTTTCCCTCGGGTTGGTGCGTTTTGACGTCATGTGCAACTAGCATCCTGGTCTTACCAATAGGTTTTAATAAGAGTTTGGACCCTCCTCCATAATGAAGTTGTGAACAACGAACATAGATCTAGAAAGGAAACAACTTCGAGATGAAGAGGCCGCTTCCTCCCCCTCTATCAGTGCTCAACATAAAATAATCAGTGACACATAAACATACGACATCTATTTATGATGTTAATGAATGAATGTTAATATGAGAATTGTCTTACCTTTAAAAAGAATTTCCTTGTCTCTATTGCAATTATCACTACCAAGGAGAAAAAAAAAATCAGAGAATTTAACATGTACATATTACTGCTCTTTACTGTGCTATTGATCTCTCTCTCTCTCTCTCTCTCTCCCTCTCTCTCCCTCCCACACACACACACACACACACACACACACACACACACACACACATATATATATATATATGAATTGAGCGAGATGTATGTAAATCTTTCTAATTGACATGTCTCCAAAAAAATTATATTGATTTGCACAAATTTCTATGCACAATTGGACAAGAAACTTAAAAAAATAAACTTAGAAATGCCCGTACTCTAATTGATCAAATAATTAAACTGTCTCTATGAGACAAACCGAATGACATAATAAATTTTTCTGATTTGACTCCAAGTAAGCTTAGATTATGCACTTAATATAAAAAGAAGTTTTAAAATATGTTTTGGGAGACGAAATGATATCTAAATCTGAAAGGTTCATAGTCAAATCGAGCAACTTGACTAGATGAATCCAACGAGCCTAAGATCAATTAATTATGATATTATTAAGGCATTTAAATACTCATAAAACTACATATGATCAAGGAATCATTCAAGAGTCTTCTAATGACGATTATTTACAGAGGTTGTCACTTCCAAAATATATAAATAGACTCCTACTTTCTGCATGATAGAGGATCTAGGCATGGAGGAGAAAATTAAAGGAGTTTCAAGTTCTTGAGAGTTTCTAAGCTCCATTACTGTCATACCACCGCAATTGAGATATCACCACCACAGGGCCATTTTTGTTGCAGCCAGGCTACTATAATTAAGTTCTCCCTACTGTCAGACCGCTAATGCTCAGCCACTACAGGAAAACCGGAGCTTGACCTGC